CTCTGATTAGTCTAAGTCAGTTTACCTTGTGTATGGGCTTGTTTCCATTCTCAGTATTTCTATAACTTGAAACATCATGATGGCAAAGAATTGAATGTAGCAGTCTACATCACAGCATACCATTAACTTAAGAATCCCCTGCATTCAGAAGCTTGACCTTGGCCATCCCAGCCAGTAGAAGATATCACGCACACAGATCCTTGCCTCTTGCATATACTTTTTATATCCTGCATCGTTGTCCTTCCCATTGCTTAGCTTCCTAATAATATATTTCCTTGATGATTGGTATGGATAAACAGGAGTCTTCCAGGAGGTGTCCTCAGCGATGTTCATGTCCTTCAGCAGAGTTGTTGGTTGATGCGTTATTAGTTGAGCGTATTTTCCTCACTCTGTATTACTTGTCTTGCCGGTACTGACTTCCGTTTACCATTTTGCAGCCCAGTCGCATAACATTGTTGGGTCCCTATTAGGTTTTATCTACTATCTTCTAGTCTGAGCAGTTTCTAATTTTGTCATCGACAAACTCTACCATCTCATTGCTTGTCCCCATTTTGAGCTCATGAATAAATATAATGAATACCAACAGCCTTGCCGTGAAATACTTTTAATGTGCACTCTTACCCTTTTGCGAAAATGGAACTTAGCCTATTATTCCAACTTTTTCATTTTGCTTAGCTAGTTTCTGAACTATGTTAATACTGTATTTGCATTACAGTTTTTTCCTGTAGCCTCTTTTGAGGGCCTTTGACAAGCCTTTGAAAAAGTGCAAATGAATGAACAGTGTGAATGAATTGTCCTTTTTTGCCACGTTTTGGACTGTTGTAAGAATTCTAGAAATGACATGAATCATGATTTTCCTTTGCCGAAGGTATGTCAGTTAGGCCCTATTATGTCATGATCATCTACAAGTCTTATATATCAATTTTTAGTTATTTCAATCAAAGTACTGAATATTTTAATACTTTGTTATATAGCTTATGTTATTTGAGGCCCTCAGATGCATTACAAAGCCTAACTGTCACAACCCTCTTCAGGACACTAAGCATTTATCCCTATTTTTCAGACAAGAGACTTGCTCAAGGTTCAGTGATGAGTTGCTGTCTGAAATAAGACTAGGAAATACAGAAATGTCATTTCCTCCTCTATTAGCCAATGTTCCCAATGAATTGGCAAACTTTGCTAGGTTCATTTGGTCCTCACGGAAACTGCTGTAATTGACTTTGCAAAGCAGAATGAAACGTTAGGAGTCCATCAGCTCAAATGAGGAGCTGTATATAATTCACTCTGGTTGCAGTCCTTTCCTCGGCTTTCTAATCTGGGGAAATGGAAACCCAGGCCTTATCGTTCAGAAAGTGTAGTCTAGAATGTGGTTGTTCAGTTAGCAGCCGATGAGCCACGTCTGGCCCACGAGGGGTTAATTCTAGAGGTGCACCTGCACATTGGATTGGCACCAGTAGAAGGATAGTTGACATTATCGGCAATTGGCTTTTTTTGTGTAGCCGATGTAGCTGATAATGTCACTGATGAATGCTGTGCCCAGCTGCAACATGCACACAGCCAGGAACGTAGCCTGGCAGTGTGGAGAGCAGCGCCTGGTCAGTAAGTCTGTAGTGGGGGAAGGGGTAGATCAAAGTCCCCACAGTGAAGGAGGGAGTAGGGCAGAGGTAAGTGCAACTGTGCAACAGTGGTGGAGCTAGGAGGGGGGATACTGGGTCAGATACAGCCACCTGAAAATTCACCATAGCCCTCCCTTCTCAGCACCTCTGCTACCTATCCCAAGCACAGCCCCAGTGCAGCCCTTCACCAGGAAGAGGCTGGTGCAGCCCTTGGCCCTGAGCCCACAGCAGGCAGCCCACCCCCATTCCACGCACATATCCAGAGGGGCACATGTCCCCAGTGCATCCCCTGGGGATGTGTGCAGCAGCAGGGAGCCATTCTCGCCCCCCCGCCCCCCGGATGAGCTACCTTGTGTCTCCTTCCCCTGTCCCAGCCACCCTCCCACTCCCTCTGTCACCAAAGGGGGGCTGTATCTCCCTCCCTTCCCCCACCTCCCATGTCACTTTCCCCAACACAGACTTACTAGCTGGATGCTGCTTTCCAAGCTGCCAGGCTGCACATTGGCAATCGGATTGGTATTGGCAGATATGGCTGGTTAATAATCAGCCATCAGTATTAGCCAAAAAAATCTTTATCAGCGCACTCCAAGTTAATTCACGTCCCATGGGCTTGCACCCAGCCACCCAAGTTCCTATGTTATTCCT